TCTGCCTTCAAGAAAAAATGATTGCCAGTTTTAATGGATTAATGGAGGATGGAGAAAAAATAATCAGCAGCTTAATCAACCAATAAAATAATTATAATTTGAAGTTCTTCACTGAACTACAGCTGCAACTAACAATTATTTGTAATAGTTGTATTTAATTTTTACGTGTGTTTGTTCTACACAATTTCAGAGCATAGTAAAAATATCCTTCTATTTATAAGTCCAAAGTGATATCTTTAAACATCTTTGTTTTGTCTGACCGTAATCCAAAGATATTGAGTTTTTACACGACATAAAATAGGGAAAAGCAGCAAAAGCCCACATTAAAGAGGCTGAAAAGAGCATTTTCTACCAACTTTGTATGAAAGATTACTTGAAAGATGAATACATTATCAAATTGGTTGCAGATTCTTCTTCATTCGTCTAATTAATTAGTCAACTAATATTTGCAGCTCTACCCTGAACCTCCAGTCACTTGTGTGTACATGTGTGAAAAGTGCGTGCGTGTATATATGACTTGGATGTGTGGATGTGTGCCAGTTTGTATCCCCTAGCAACAAGGTCTGAGAACGCTTCGAGGTTAAAGTGGTGCCACAGTCATGTGACGACACCAGTTCAGTTTCATTATAATTTAGTTTTTCGGCCATTTACCTTGATATTGTGACTTCACACTGTCCTTCATGCCACTTACACCCAGATTTCTGAACTGACATTATCTTTCAGCTCTTTAAATAAAGCCAGAGATTGTAAAAGGACATCCTTCAGATGCATCTTAGTTTGCTGCGTTAGACGATGCATCAAACCTTCCTCTTACAACCTTTGAAGCAGTGATTTGCTAGACTGCACATATGCCACGACTCACTGCGCAATCATAAAAAAGAAGCTTTCATTAAGAGGCAGCCCAAAACAACAATAACTTGGAAAGCAGCCTCCCGAGGGACAATCTGATTTATTTGTGCCACAGGATTTACAAAACCTCCTCTGAAGATAAAGGAATCAAATGTGAGTGAAACAAGTGTGACTAAAGTGGAGGAGATAGTTAGAGGATGGTAACATGCATCATGTGCAGGAATTGAGACACATGGTGAGATATTATGACAACCTGTCACATTCTTGTCTTTGGACACAGATTAAAGAGAATATTTGTATCACAAGGAACAAGATGGTGCTCTTGAAAATAACAATATGGCAATAAGGAAAATGTGTCTTAGAGGCTTTATAGTTCATCTTTACTGTATTAGAGCTCAGTATTTCTCTGTGATTACAAAATCTCTGTATCTCACATTCGACTGTAAGATGCTGCCACTGTTTATCTCTCAGCCAAACAGAACAAGCGATGAGAGGCTACCGATCAGCAGGTCACTACGACAGGGCAGCACTTTGAAAAGCTCCAGATGCATACGCCATCCAACCCCTAATTCAGCATTCAGTTTCCTAGCAACCGGGTACTCCTCAAAGGCCTAACTGTGTTTAAACATCTAAATGTGCGGAGTTTGAAGACATGGAGGATGAGGTAGAGCGGAGACGAAGAACGATACATGGAGAAGATTTAAATCAAATACAATAACAAGACAAGGGACAGTAAGCTGACACTGACACACACCCACACTCATGCACGTACGCACACACACTCACACACGTACGCACGCACACATGCGCACACAGGTATTACTAAAATCATTACAGTGTTTACTCAACACCCTTAATAGTGACTGTTTTTTGTTGTTTTTTTAAGATGAGTAAATGATCGCTCTTTTGTCATAGGTTACACACCACTGTATCCAAAAACAAACATGATATATGTAATAATAATATGTCTCACCAGATTTAGTAATAATCTCAGTCTGATTGCTCTCTTCTTCTTGCTGGGTGAGCTCTCTCTTGGAGATGTCATGATCCACAGTGGGTGCATGAGAACCTACAAAGAGGGATAAACATATGAACACATAATAGGCTATTATACTCTAATATACCTGATTGTAAGTTTACCCAACTTTATGATATTTATTTTACTCTCACGTTTATAATGTGATTTGAATGATTTAAGATAATACAAGGAACGGATGAGTTATAGTTGAGGTATATGAAATTACGACATTTTGATGTAAAAAGCACCTGTAACATGAATGAGGTTAAAGATCCAGGCGGCTGCGAGCAGACCGACCCCACAGACGCAGAGCCGCGGGAGGAGCCGCGTCTGCCTCGGTCTGCGCGGAGCCTTCATCCCGCTCTCCGATCAGAACATCCCGCCTCACACAGCCTCCGGTCCCCGTCCTGCACACTGGATCAAACTGGCCTGTTGATATTTGTTTCTCCCGATTTATCGTTTTTCAGCTATCACTGTACGGGTTTGATGGGTATGGCCTGTGTTCAGCATCACGAGTCAGCAGCAGCGCAGCATCCGCACACCCCCCCCCAGCTCCGATGAGCAAACACACAAAGAGTCAGGAGAGCAGATATCACAACATCCCTGGGTTCTGACCGTCCTCCCGTCCCTCCTGCTGCCCTACATCTGAGCCCGTTTATGCTCCGTGCGGGAGGGAGGGGGGAAGTGCTCTCTTCAGACCAGGCCCGGTTATACGGGGGTGCATAAGGGTGCATTGCACCCTCAGTTGAGTCGTTATGCACCCTCAATTGAAAAGTGAAAAAAAAAAAGTGAAAAATATTACATATATAATAATAATAGTAGTAATAATAAGAATAAGAATTTAGTTGAAATAAAATAAATTGTGGTTAAATAACATTGTCTGCTGCATTTATTTGGTCAATTTAAACGGTAAGTAACGTTATTATGTCAGGTGCGCGTGACCTGTGCCGCTGCGCGTTCGTCATCTGCAAGGTGCTTACACAGCAGTCAATGATGGACATCAGAAAATGGTTAAAACAACCAGCCCTTATCGCCAGCAGTAACACTGCATCTACTGCAGGTAATAACAGTTCAGATCATGGGGACATTACGTTACCCGCGGCCACTGTCGTGGACACTAACGCCCGACTCGCCGGCTTTGCCCGCCTCGCCCACGGAGGCGGAGCAGCCGCAGCCGTCTTCATTGCCCCAAACACCGCCACCCCTCAGCGGCCCGCAAGTGCCAGAGGACCTCGGCAAAACAGGTATATTTAAAAAAGTACCCAACTCGCCTGTACAGTGCTCATTTTGCAGCTCATGGTTTCAAAACAGAGATTGGCTGGAATATTCATGTAAAAAAAGATGCCATCTTCTACTATGCATGTAGACATTTCGGTTCAAGTAAGTCAGATGCCTTCACCACAACTGGCTACTACAACTGGCGCCATGCTCTTACAGTGTATAGGCTACATGATAAGGGACTGGGAAGGCATGAATCAAGCAAAGAGCACATAGATCTATAGATCTCTTCATTTTGCTCTCAAAGTGCACCAGATTGATGCTTTTAACTTCAATATTTAAAACAAAATCTTCCCGGGGGAGCATGCCCCCGGACCCCCCTAGAGGAGGTAAGGACCCTCCTAGAGGAGGTGAGGACCCCCCTAGAGGGTGTTAGGTACACTCCCCACTTATACAAATAGCACTTTACCCCTGCCCCCTCTCTAATCTCAGATGCACCCTGAGTCATTTTATTCTGGAACCGGGCCTGCTTCAGACCACCAGGGAGCGCCTTCTGCTGGGAGGGGCGACTCTCTCTTAGCATGCGATTCAAAAATGTGAATGGTGCTTTGCAATAGTTATAATGCTGTAGTGGAACTGGGAGAATGACCTGGTAATAGTAAACGTGATAGGAGAATCTGTTAGTGTTTCAAATGAGGAATGGTTGTAACATGTTTGGGTCCCTGAATGTTTGTTACATCTTTAAAAATGACTCACAAATTACACCTTTTTGTTTTACTAACAGAAAAGGCATGTTTCCAAGATATCCGGATATGATAAGATACTACAGGGATCATTTGTAAGAATAAGAATAAAGATTACACAATAATCTCACACTAGAGGCTTCAAGCCAAATAGTTTGCAAAGAACAAAAATAACTTCACCTGAATTTATTAAACCCTTGAAGAATGACTTTTACCTACAATAATCAACTGCAGAGGATTAAAAACTTTAAAATAATATTGTATATCTAAATATGTACACGTGTTTAGGGGCTACAAACTTCCACACCTGTCAGTCATTGTTGGATGCATTGCGTAATAAAATTAGCAGTGATGAAATACCCCTCATTTTAGCGTTATATCGCTTTTATTCTAGTTGTGTAATTCTAATTTACAGTAGAATAATCCAATTATAGACTTGGTCAAAAAGATTATTTTCAAAGCTGAAAATCTGAGTTTTTGCCGTGCAATGAGAGCTATGAAATATCACATGAAAGGTCAGAAGTGAAGTTTGTCAGATATGAAATTGATCTTATGATTTAAATGTCATCCTTGTAAATCAAAGTGTTTCTGTTACTATCATCTCTTTGTTACCACGCGGGCTCCTACTGAGTGATGGGCCTATTGTAGTAGTCCAGTGATGGACTGAAGCTAGTTCCTAGAAATTCAGTTTGTGGAGGAAAGTTCTCACAAAGTAACTAAGAGCTCCTCTCTTGTCTTCCTTTTGTTCGAGTGTTTATTCAATGCTCACATGGCCATATGTATATGTGATGAGCTATTGGCTGCTGGAACCGTTTTCCCATACTGGCCACAAAGAGATCCTTTGTAAACCTATTTTTATGTACGTAAAAAGTGCTACTTCCGTGCAAAAATACTTCATAAATTCAGCAGCCTGAGTTAGAAACCAAACCTTCAAATAATCGATAAATTAAATAGTTTTCATTGGTTAACATTTTGTCTGATGTGAAGAAGTGGTTTCTCAAAAAACATTGGTTAAAGCAACATCTTTTTTCAATGTCAATTTAATATTTAATCTTCTTCATAACCAAGTAGATTAACAGAAAGCAAGAAACTACAATTGTTCATTTAAGTTTTTAAATAGGGGATGTTGATAGTTATCTGTTCCAATTCACACATTTCCAAGCCCTGTTAAATTAGACTGTTACTGTTATCATTTCTAGAATTTAACCTAACACAAAGAAAAACTTTAAAATGCCGGTGGTTTACAGAAATAAAATATTTAAAATAATCCCCTCAGCTTCCATAAAGCACAAACAAGAAACATGGAGATTAGGTGTTTATAAGAGGAGTGTTGAGATCAAATTGGAGGCAAGGCCCCATAATGCACACTGTAGTACGGCTGGAGCATCAGGCGAGTGCCGCTCCACAGGGTGTTGATGGAGAAAAAGTTCCCTCTAAAGCTTCCTGAAGCCAAAAAACCCAGAACAATGAGGAAGAAGATGAAGAGCAGAAATAATCCAGCTATCTGGACGGCTGTCTCCAAGGTCCCCGCCCACCTTAGACAAGGAGAAACCAGAGGGACGAGGATTCATGAGCAAAGAGCGAGAAACATGATGCAGAACTGCTCTATGATGAAGAACTGATTTACCTTTTGGTGTGATGCTCTTCTGGGAGACTCAGAGGTTTCAGCGGCTCCTCAGCCTCACATTCCTCCTGCACACACACACACAACCAGTCATCATTTCCCCCATTTCTACATAGTTCCACATCTGGGTTTTGTACTGGCACACTCTAGTGGTCACTAGGTATATGCAATAAATAACCACTCAGGTGCCTGTTTATATCTATCTATTGTAGATAGAGCTGCAAGATGAGTTCATTGGCAGAACAACTATCAACAACTATTCCGTTAATCCTTCCATTTTTAACGTCATTTATCAAACAGAAATGGCAGAAAATTCAGTTTTCAGCCTCTCAAATATGGACATATCCTGCTTATCTAAGTTTAATATCAAATTATACTCAATATCTTTAGATTTTGGACTGACAAATCAAGACACTGACATGTTTCACTACTTTCTGACGTTTTATAGTACTAATAATCTGGATAATAATTGGCTAAATGAATCGATAAGTAAAATAAATGTAAGTTACAGCCGTTATCGTAGGACTGTATTGTAAATTAAAAACAGCAACTGAGTGATTTTACACTGTCTCAGCAGGTCATACATGTCTGAGGTCTGCAGAGTCTGCCATGCTGGGCTTCACTTCAGGAGAGAAGGCCAGCAGCTGCAGCTCCTCTGCGAAGGACAGAGAGAGTGTTTCCTCCTTTTTCTCCATCAGGTCATTCACAATGGTGCTGGAAACAAACGGCAGACACAGAAGAGTGTGAGCGCAGACAGATGACTCAGTGTCATGATATTCATTCAGAGGATGTTTCTGTCAGGGTTACAGTGAGGCTGTGTCCCGTCTGTCCTCCAGCTGCTCTCCCAGCTCCTGGTTCTTCTGCCGGAGACACTGCAGCAGAGAAAAGTGATCAAACAGCAGCTCATCACAGGAAGACTTTACAGCAATATGTGAGAACATGTACCTCTATGATGTTGAAGTACTCTTCTTTCAATTCCTCTGAGTACTTTAACTGCAAGTTTTTCTATCACAAACACAAATGAGAAATCATTTGATTTCAACCAAATAACAAAACAAGAAAAACAATTCATGATAAGCCTGATGAACCCAAAAAAGATAGAAAAAGATAAATATGTATGAGAAAGTCTTCACTCTTTGCTCTGCCTTGTATTGATGCCTCTGCTCCTACCTTAAGAATATCATCATCCCTATTCTGCAGCCCTAGCTCAGCCTCCTCCAATGTATGCTAAAGAAACAAACAACATAACAAATCAGGAGCTGTTTAACAACGTTACATGACTTAAAAGGGAAAGCTTACAATATAGGTGGAGTATTCCTTTCAGATAAATGGAAAGAGAAAGATAATGAAGCATCTCCAAGTTGAATCCATGGTGTTACCTTCATGGTTAGGAGTGAAACCCTGCAATTCTCCAAGCTGATCTTGTCCTGCTCTCTCTCTTGCTGGACGGCCTTGAGCTGAAACAGTCAGACTGACTTGTGGCACTTTTAAACTATATGATGACAGATTCAAGTTCTATGTCAAAGGTAACAGCCATCATACCTCTTCAGTTAGCTTCTTGTTCTGTTCCTTCATAATGGCTGACTCCTTCTCCTGCAGAAAAAAACAGGTGGTTAAAAACATCTCTACAACCTGGATGAGTAAAGACACAATTTAACATTGCAAAATATGAGGAAGTAAAGAAGGACAATATAGTGACCCCCCTAAACCTAATACTTCTAAAGAAATTTAAAAAATCATTGAAATCTTTGTTCGTTCTTGTTTAAGTTCTATCAGCTGTTAGCTCTGCCTGTGATGCAACATTGGAATAGAGTTGAGCAACTTATCAATATAATGTAAGACAATATATCTGTAAGAAATGAGCTTTGCCTCATTAGCTCAAGTGTTCAAGTCTTAATATACACCGGTAAAACACATTGCAACACAACAACACGTCTGGTTACAAACCAATTTTTGAATCTTGTTTTCACTCCATCTCTGAGCGTAGAGTTCATCATCCAGGAGGGACCTGCAAGGCTCTGCTTCCACCAGCTGGACTTCACTGTTGCTCTTCTCCAGGCTGCAGACATGCAAACAAACAATCTACAAAGTGTTCCATTGGTACTAAGTACTGAGAAAAAAAGAAAACCGTGCTGGAACATCAGCAACATGTCTGTGTCAGGGGCCACAAGTCAAACGGCTGATTTAAGTGTTAGGTTTGACAGTCAGATAGTTGAGTATAGACAATAAAGTGTGATTAGTTACTCTTTCACTCGTTTCCTGAGGAGGATGTTCTCTGGACGCAGCATTGCTATATCATCCTCTGCTACATCCAGCCAGTCGTTTAGTTTAGCATTGCGGTCCCTCTGCTGGTTTAGACTGTGCTCCAGCTCCTCCATTTTCTCACGCATCTCCTTCAGTTTCCTACACACACACACACACACACACACACACACACACACACACACACACACGCGCACACACACACACACACACACACACACACACACACACACACACACACACACACACACACACCGGAGAACAAGCTCCATGTATTGCTGCTTAGTAACTCAATCATGTTGGTGTGTGTGGGTTTATTCAGCACTCACATATTTTCATCTTTGGCATCCATCTTCATGGCTTACTCCTCTCCGATGCTTGTGGCAACACAGGTATATAGCTAATTAATGGCATACTAAATAGTCTCTGGGTTATATCCAGTTAACTCATCTAACTAGTGTAACATACATTCATTCTTAAAATGTGCATATAGTAGAACTAACTGCAATAAAAAGAGCAGAAATAGCTTTTATCCATCCTTCCAAGACTGATTTCAATTGGCATTTAAAACAATGAGATGGGATTGCAATGAATGCATCTCAACTTGTTAGTGATGGAACCGGATGGAACAAGGCCCTTCGCGTCTGTAACAGTAAACATTAACCGCCCTTTTCTGCTCAATTATATTTGAAAGTTAACAAACATGATATAAATTAGCTCCTGGATGACCAGCTGCAGCATTAAAGTGATGAATACAGTAATTGCTCAATTATTACAATTCAGTTATGTATAAGTCTGAAATGAGTCATTCTGCAAAATTAGGTTTTTAAGTAATAATGCTAACGCAGGACTTATTAGCTAGCTTGTAGAACATGCCTAACTGTGTTATTGCTACCAAGCAACATACTTCCTTCCTTATGCCACTGTTAAAAGCTGGCTACATTTTCACATGTGTTAAAGTAAAATACATAAAAAATATGACTAGGATAATTACGTGGAGTATTTTACAGGACCTGTTGAACCCATTCATTTATATTTTCAAAGCAGATTTAGCTAGCTAACATTAGCCAACGTTTCTGAGCTAGCGAGCGTTCCAAGCTAGGATAACAAGTTTACCAAAAGTTATCATACTGCTATAATACTACATTCAGCTAAAACTACTGTTGTTTTATCTGCTTCAGAAACGGGAAAAATGTATGCCTTACTAGCGAGTAAATCCAATACAATGGAGTTGCACCAGCGGAGTTGTTGTTCGAAGACTGCACGTTGCTGGTAACCATGCACCTGGCAGTGACTGTTGCTAAGGGGAAAATGTTCAGTTGTTGTACTTGCTTTGTTATTGTAGTTTTTTTTACATTAAAACCTAATTACAATCAGATACATAGCCAATAGAAAACACTAACTTTTTTATGAATTCTTTACATTTTGTAATGCTAGAATTTGTCTTTTATGCAGCATACTATAATCATTTGAAAAGCTTTTTTGTTAGTCAAACTAGATACAATTATGCTTTATTGTTTACATTCAACAATAAAGTGCAGGATTAGACCCTGACCACTATTCTAATTCATTCAGAATTTGATTAATGAAAAAGTTGCAAAAGCGAGCTATTTTTTTATTTTATTTATCTGTCTTTTTGATAAATGATTATAAATGTTCATTGTATTTTGTTTTAATTTCTACATTAGAATCAAAATCTGCAAGAAAAACTTTTTTTTTCACTCAAGCATGCATGTGTAAAATTATTAGAAAACTGCAGAAAACACTTCCCACAAATCTACATTTTGCTATTACAACACAAAAAACAAACATATAATAATACAATAAAAAAGTGTCCATGGCTCTGTACTTCCCTTGAAATAATTTATTGGGTGTGACCCATATGAAATGGCCAACAAAAAGAAATAGGAAGACATACCGTATATATAATAGCAAACGATTAATAAAACCTAAACAAATGATATTTGGCAGATTTTTTAGGACAAGTACGATTACCTGTCAGAACAAAGGCTTGTCATTTTTATTTCCATTTACAGCGAGTAGGAATAAAATAACAAAAGCAAAAGTGCAAAAGAGAGAGAGAAAAAAGATGGTACTAACGTAGCAAAAGTCAGTTGGCATCAAGTGCTGTGAGAAATGTTAACTGTGTCCCAAATCCATACTAAATGGAAGATCAAAGCAGGTTTTGAGTACATAGTGTAAATAACAAAATAATTATATATTTTCTTTCAATTAATATGTAGTAAGGACTGGGCTACAGGCTCAGAATCAGGACTGAACAATTCAGTTTATTCGATTCATTCCTACCCCCCCCCCCCCTCAGTGCTCTTTATGTCTTACTTAATGCAAAAAAAAACCAGTAGAGAGCCCAGTGTAATACAGCAGCTGGAGCTCAGGAGTGGCTGTCGATTAGTGGAAAACAATCTGCTAACGAACAGAAGATTTAGAATCCTATTGGACTTGTCAGCACCAACGCCAAACTGATTATAACCTTCAGATTTATATAAAAAAAACAGTACGAAAAAGGCCGATTCAAGTGACTACCCAGAGGTTGTAGTCAGCTGTCGCAAGTGCTTGTAAACAAGAATTTAAACCTATATATATGTTACTCAATCAATTAAATCCATTCTCATTTCAGAGTTGTTCTGATACATCTTCAGTGCTCAGTATTCCAGAGGAACACTGCTGATTTCTGTGCTAATATACAGAATACCTTTAAATGGAGGTCAATGTACCCTTCTGAAGTAGGCCCATCATTTCCTTGTCCCCGCACAGGTAAAGGCTACGGGGAAAATATCGGTAGACAGATATACCCAGTCACATCTTAAACCACCACACTGCTCTGGCTTCTTCCCATCCCAAGCTACCTCTCTCCGTGAACTGAGGTGTTCTTTGTTACAGCTGCTACTCCCGATTACATTAACTATCACCACTAAAGCAAAGACACACGGCCTGTTCATATTCAGACTTTCAGCTGTTAACGGCTGGGGTCCAGCGATCCTGTGAGCTGGAAGTGTATCCCGTCTCCGGGGAGAGGTGATGGGATGAGAGGGCAGAGCCAGCAGAGGTACCAGCGAACGCCCAGAGAGTGACGTAGGTTTCCCAGGACGCCGAGGTTGTAAGGTCGGCGGGTCGAGTACCATTCCCTGGTGGTCTGTCCCCGAAACATCAGGATTATGTGGAAGAAGAAGAAGGCGGACACCAGCAGGAAGCCCACCACGCATGTGTCGGCGATGAATGCGAAGGCAAAGGCACCTGGTGACACCTGGCCTGGGGAGAGAAGGGACAGCAGCAGAACTGATTAAAAGAAAGCCAGTGATATAAATACAAGCTTAGGTTAATATTGTACATGAAATAAATGTGGTTACATTTAAGACACCTTGCAGCGTTATTATACACAGAGAGTTGTGGGGATCAACCTGCAATTATCCTTCCTACAAACAGGCCGAAAGTGGCAAAACCAGCTCCTACCTGACACCAGCATGATCCAGGGTATGAGCAGCAGCATGACGCTATGCAATGTCACACCCTCCTTCAATATGACAATGAAGACCTCTGCATTCATCAGAGTGGCGTACAGGAGCCCAGACCACATAAATAACAAGCAGCTCAGGAAGTAGCGGTAGTTACGGAAGCCCACGCACTGGCCAAAAAAGACACAGTGGTGATCCCGCCGCAGCACACACACTTTGCAGTCGTAGCAGTGGGAGCAGCGAGGAGGAGTGTGTGTCTCACATGTATAACAGTACCTGTGTGAAAAACAAGAACAAAAATACATTTATTTATGATGAGAAATGCTCCTTTGGCTCTAAAATACTGTTTTGTTAATCTCATTAAAACAAAGAGACTGTGATCATCAGACGGGGATGATGTGGGAGGGTATGCAAATTTGAAAAAAACTCAAACATTGAGTGCGTCTGTTCGTTTTTACATAACTAGTACTGTAAAATAAAATGCAGTTGTTTGCTTCTCTGCCAAGATGGACAGTTTTTCCAACTCACTCATGACGATAATTCACCATTTTCCTAATAATGGAAATATACCAAGCTCAACCTATTGTGAGTGTTTATTATCTAGAAAAAGCATTGCTTTGGGCCAAAAATAAAACTGCGGAACAAATCAATCTTTACACCTGTAAAAAAGCCAAATATAACTATCCTAATGGTGGAAGTCGGACAGTGGGGATCACATTTTTAAGAAATCAAATTAAGAAAAAGACAAAATTGTCATATTATAATTAAACTATAAAATAATAATTGTATTCTAAATATCATTGTAAATGGAGTAAATAGGGTCTAGCCAAAGTAAGAGCAACAGACACCCCAAGTAAACAGAACTATGTAAACAAGGAGGCTTTATATAGTTTACTGTGAATCCTCAAACCAAGGCTGTATGAAGAATTCCAAATAAAACCCCATTATTTCCTTATATAACCCCTGCACTCCTCACCTCCACCCCTGACCCATGCCATCTCCCCCCAGGAACACCCCCCTGATGCTGGGGCTGGTCTGGAGGAAGAGCAGGGCGTTCCAGCAGATGTTCCCGAGCATGAAGTACTGAGCCAGCAGGTGGACCGCCTTCCACCAGCCGGACCACTCCGTCTTCTGCTGGTCCGCCTCCACCAGCACCAAGTAGCTCACCTCCCCGGTGATGGAGAACACCAGGAAGGTGTTGAGGAACACTGGGAGGTGGCGGCACACCCTGTCGACCCTGCTGAAAACTTTACTGGCTAAACTGGTCATGTTTCCTGCCCGTCCAGCTCTCCGTGATGTGACAGCTCACAGGGCGGGGAGCGGTTTGACAGGCGCACTCTAGTAACCGTTTGTTAGCTTATAAAGGATAATAACCGCTCCAATAGCTTTGTGTTTGAAGTTATATTAACCGCATTATATCAACAATACTTTAAATAACTTTCAGACGAATTCATGTAATGAAAGAGTTGAAATGTCCGACTCTCAGTCTCTATTAACTCCCTCACTACCGCAATCTCAGCTACTCGACGGAATGCTCCCGAGAGGTGCTACATGAAAATACATCCGCATTGAAACAACGCACTCTGGTTCCGCTTGTGTATGTCACACGTCCCATGCGGCCATGGGTGGACAATCGTGCGCTATTCTAAATAGGTTTCATTCAAAAATTGTACACACAATATATTCTGTAAAAAAAAACCTAAAGAGCTTTAAAAGTGATATTTAATTTCCTTGTAATTTCTGTAAATTGTTTTTATTTTCACTTCATCATGTTATCATATTGTCATACATGCTGGTTATTTTTTTATTATTATTTTAAGTGTATTAAAAAGAAAAAAAAAGCTCTCACTCCAGATTAACCCCATGTGTTTATTGGCAACATGTCTCTGATCCCTCCCCCCCCAAAGAGGAGACCTTAATCCCTGATAATCTCTGTATCCACTGAAAGCCTGCAGTCATGGCTGCATCGAAGAAGAAATCACTGCCTCTAAGGCACCTGACGGACACTTTCACAAACCAAAGAGAGCAGATGCTAACAAAGAGGTAAACTCATTGAATATGAATTCAGGAAGAAGTTATCAAAGAAGTAATCGCAGTTGTTAGATTTTCTCTTAAAAATGATTAAAAACAGAAACCCGCAAATACAATTGGACTTCTGTATGGGTTTTTACAGTGTGGTGCAAAAGAGGGAGTACATAATGTAGTTTGGGTAATGTTTTTGATTGTTAAAGATGTTGTGTGTGAGGGTAGAAAAGTGTGTGTGACACCAGTTACTACGATGCTTCATTATGATCCACTAATTGTATCCAAGTGTCAACAGGCCAATGCTATTCAATACAGACTTTTCAACTCCTCAGAATCAGCCAAAGCAGTGCATAAACAAAAGGCAGCAAAATGCTATTCATCATTGTGTATGTGGGTGTTAATCATGTTAATCTGTGTGTGTGTGTGTGTGTGTGTGTGTGTGTGTTTGTTTCATGCAGCCACCTGCAGGAGCGCTGGCAGGAGCTGAAGGAGAGAGAGCTCATCGCTCAACAAAACAACAGGCAGCTGCTGCAGCAGTTTGATGAAGCCCAGGACACACTGAGAGAGATGATAACACTCACTGCTGACATGACAACTATTCGGGTGCACACACATTAAACAAATTTCCCATTTGTACTTCACCCCTGCCTCTCTGTGAAGCGTTGGTGCTGAATCCTCTTCTTGACCTTTGACTCCTTCAGATGGAGTACGAGCGGTACCTGGAGGAGAGTTACCCCCGCTGGCAGCAGCAGCTCGAGAGGAAAACACAGTCTGCTCAGAGACAGGTACGAGAGATTCACACGATGCAGTTTGTGTCCAACCAATACACTGGTTCTGTATTTTGAATTGATGCAATAAAACTGAGAACATTAACTTGTTTACTTAATTAACTTGTGCTTAAGTAATGTACACGTACCTTAATACTTATTTTTGAGTATTTCCATCTACATTCATTTACTTGTAGTGCAGTGTGGAATTAGCACTTTGAATTAAGTAACAATTCTAAATACTTCTTCCACCACTGTCTTTTACAGAGCATGGAGGAGTATTTAAGGTCATGTCTAAAGAACAGAGAGGAACGGGTGTCAACATCCTCAGCAGATCTACCTTTTAATTCAAAAGGTTTGTCCTCTTTACTCACTTCTTTAGTTTTAAAGGGTTGTTCTAGACACACACCGACTCCTATCTAATGTCTATCTTTGTTCCAGGCCCTACATCAATGTCACAGCAAATGGCTGCACCTCCAAACCACTACAGCCAAAACCTCCACATGGACTACAACCAACATGGCTCCCCTCGTCTCCCCTACATACAAACTTCCTGGCAGCACCCCACTCAATTCCAGAGAGCTAAGTTTCCCATCAGAGCCCAACATCAACCTCAGGGTTACTCTCATGTCCCTCCATCTTTCCCCCAACATCCTGACCCATACCATCATCAACACCTCGACCCCCCACCCGGCTATCATTCCAGGCAAGATGCACCAGGCTGGGCCCCCCTGCAGCCTGAACCCGCCTGGCCTTTGGCTGCTGGTGCGGCTGGGATCTCTGCATGCTCCGAGGCTCTGTGGGGTCCGCTTTACAGGGAGGAACCCCCTCCTGAGATAAAGGTGACAGAGAAGGAGGTGGACACAAGCCTAGCACCAAGTTCAAAGAGAGAAGGAGGGAGTGGAGGCAGGAGCAGTCATTTCTCCCAGGAGCTGGACATTAAACCAGGTGGGAAAAGAAAATGATTTTTTTTCTTATGCACTTATCTTCCTTAGTAAATATGTTAATTCCCCTCAGATATTCATTTTCATTGTGTGTTGACGTGCTGCGTTTAGTTCGTCTGTCTGGTGGCCCTGCAGAGAGCAGCGAGAGCAGCAGGGAGTCCAGTCAGGGGAGCAGAGAGAAGAAGAAGAGAGGCACATCACAGAAAGCGTCCTTGGACAGCTGCAGCTCTCACGAGTAAGTCATATTGTTTATAATAGTCTCTCAGAGAATAGCTCTTAATAGAGAGACTAGACATTTTGACTAGGTACATATTATCATAATCATAAGTAACAGATCAACATTTGAATGACAGTTCTAACTTTAGTCATCTAAAACAACCCCTTTCCTCTACATGTGTATTTGTTATAAATTGCAATATACAGAAAAGAGCTGAGACCTTCACTTTCATTTATAGTTTGCCACAGCTTTGAAGCAAACTTTGCAGCAATTTTACAATAAAAAAAGCAAAAAATTGAGTAAAGATGTCAAAATCTTTGGGGCGTTCATGAACCAGAGGATGAATCAGAATCAGAGATACTATATGAACCACTTATGTTCTACCTACCATATCAATCAACTTACATATATTATTCTTTACCATTTTATTTTTCATCCATTCTTAATTTTAGGTCATCTGAGAGTTCCAGTGCAATTGTCATTGCTGCAGCCACAGCAGCCCAAAACTCAGAAAGCGACGCCTCATCAGAGAAAAGCAGCACGAGTAGCAGGAAGAGGAGGGGTGGGGGGCTCGCTGTCAGATCACCAAGTGCTGAGAAGCTGGGGGAAGGGAGCAAGGGAGACAACTCAGGGAGTCACCGAGAGGAGAGTCGGTCCACTAGGGCGGAGTTAGGGGGTCTAATCGAGGAGGCCAGGATCGAAAAAGGAGGTAATCAAAGACATGGGGATAATTCAGAGAGCTGTGGAGAGGAGTCTGGATCCCAGAGGGAGGAGGAGTCTGGATCCCAGAGGGAGGAGGAGTCTGGATCCCAGAGGGAGGAGGAGTCTGGACATGTTAGTGTAAAGATTGAAAACAGAGGTGGAGATGAAATAGAAAAGCAGGAGAGTAACAGCTCTGAACAAAGCAGTGTAGAGGGAAAGGAAGAGGAAGAACCAGGAAGTGGAGATGGAGAGGGAAATGGTGGTTGCGCTGAAGAAAAAGAAAACAACCAGACAGATGAAGAGCAAGAGGAAAGAGACATGGATGATGATGATGAAAATGTGGCTTTGGAAAAAAATAATACTACAGATAAAGAGGAGGAGACAGGATCGGAAGAAGAGGCGGAGGATGAGGAAGAGGGTGATCCTGAGGAAGAAAAGTCTGAAATGTTGCAGATTGAAGATGGTGAGAACCAAAAAAGGGTTTCTACATCTTCTCAATATGAAGGAGAGAACACGGAGGATGAAGAGTCAGATGAAGACGAGCAAAGAGGAGACGAAGCAGGAGAACCAGAGGAGGAAAGAGATTCAGACGACAGCATCATCTCACCACCGCAAAACAGGTGGATATTTAACCGTAATGCATCACTATCCACAATGTATTATTTCTATAACATTTTAAATAATATGTTAATCACAAATGACAGTACGTAGACTTGAAACGATCTGTTGTTTTCAGATCTAAAAAGATGAACGTTATTCCTGAGGAGAACAGTGAAGAAGAGGAGGAGGAGGAGGAAGGGATCAAAACTGAATCCTCTGAAGATGAGATCAGTGACGACGATGTCGAGAATCTACTTGCGCCTCAAGATCAATCTGAGAAAGAGTGAGTTACGTTTGACTTTTTACTTCTGATAGCAGAAACTACAGCTTTACCAATTTCATCTCATTACCTTGTTAAAAATGTATTTTCAGAGAAAAGGACCTGAAAGCTGCCGAGAAACCAAAAGGTATTGTCAGTTTTCATTTGAAGATGGATTCAATATTGCCATAAATGTTTGTTTTTGAAGATTACTATCCGTTTCTTTTCCAGCAGTTTGTGACAACGTGGAGATGTTTCAAGTTGAGCCGGACAGATCAACCAAGTCGGATCACCCGAGTGACTCTGATGAGTTCGACCAGTTTTATGAATAAATGTAACAACCTCTGAAACAAAAGCCTACCTCAGGATAAAGTGTTACAGAGTAGTATATAGTAAACAACTTTATTCAAATATGTGGTCTTTTGGTACGGTTTGTTTTCTTAGGTTTGATTAAAGATGTTATCTAAATGTATCAATACCCAAACATAACTGCACACCATTAAACTGCTTTATATACATACTTAAAAGTGTTTATGTTGACTACTAAAGAAATAGATTTTCAAGCAGGTTTCTTCCTCCTCCACTCGGAGCCTAAGAAACAGAAATATACAATATAAAACGGCAACACTAGTAGATGTAAGAGAAGACTACAAAACAGTACAAAGAGTGACAATAATTTATTGAAAAGAGTTTGTTATGGCTGTCGGAGCGACTCACATTCCACCACAGTCATGAAACCACCAACCAGACATGTTTGTTGTATAAAAATAAACCCAATGAGCACAGTAGATTGTTTCTGTAAGTTTTCCATCAGCGTGCCTGAGGAGCACATCATTTAAAGCTGCTTGCAAACTGGTCCTGGTTCAGTCAGCTCTTTTCTTTTGAAGAGCTTTCAAAGTCATAATTTTACTTTAGATTTTCACCACCTGAGCAGCCAGACAGGGGCTCACTCTCATCCCGTCGTCTGACGCAGCGCTGCGCTGGATGAGCATCCGGCCGTAGGTCCCGCCCACCTGGCCTTTGGTCAGCCGTCCAGGGTTCACACACACACAGCCGACCACGTTCTGAAAACAAGAGGAGAGGAGGTTTAAAGACATATTGCGTGGGCTAATAAAAAAACTAAAAAGATAGGGATATTCAAAACAAATGTCCCATTGGAAGAACCTCTACATTAGTAAAAATGAGTTGTTTTTTATCTTTTCTACAGATGTGTCTTTGTTTTAAATAATGTTTTGGACTCATAACTACATTTAAATAATTTCAGAAAGAAAACATTTTGTAATATGAAACTGACCTGAAAACTGCACATATCTTAATTTTGACAATGTATGAATAACTCCTTTATTACATGGACTAGAAATTATATGTTTTGCCTTCAGTGTTATTTAAAAACTCAGATGTTTTGACCATGGCTTGGCTCAATTAACTTCTTAAACATTTTGTTTTTTTAAACTGAACTCAAAGCTGCACTTATTTTTGAATTGACAATACTTTAAATGAGAGCGGGCTCTGTAACCAATAACTGGGCTAAGTGTCTGTCTAGAGCAGGGGTAGCCAACACGGTGCCCGCGGGCACTCAGTCGCCCGCGGGGGCAACGTGAGTCGCCCGCGGGGGCAACGTGAGTCACGTTCTTGCTTGATTTGCGGGACCAGCGTTGCAGTCGGGAAGAAAAGCAATGTGGCACCTCCCCGCTGATTTTCCTTCTGGCAGAATCTACACAACACATCAGCCCCATTGAACACAGCTGGATGGCCTACCTGCCACAGCCTAGTCATGACAGCCTATACTGCATGTGTTGTAACTTGCATATATATTTATTCCACTTGACGCACACTCACGCATGGCGTAATCTCCACTGGGGACAGGGGGGGGGGCATGTCCCCCGCACTTTTCTAAATCCCGTTTGTGTCCCCCCACTTTACAAATATGTTTATTATTATTTTTTAACGCAAGCCATCATCGCCACGGAGGAGCGCACAGCCTCTGTGAGCGAGCGAGACAGAGAGAGAGAGCGAGGGAGCTAGGGAGGGAGAGAGTGAGCGAGAGAGCTAGGGAGAGCACACTTTTATCTATTTAATATAGATAAAGTAAGAAATCATTCCAATGTGTACTATAGCACAGTACAAAAAACAGTTTAAAAGGGGAATGATTAGTAAAATATGCATAAATAAAAAGAAAGAATGCTAACATAAGATAAGAATAAACAAGTTGAAATGATTTGTTATTGGTTGTGATCATATTCTAAAGATGTTTGGATTATTGAAAAGTATACAGCTCCCTTTCATAGAGTGTTGAGAGCTGTATCCATAAATTCATTTTGTGCTCATAGTGCACCAGATTGATGCATTTCACTTCAACATTTTAAAAACATCTTCCCGGGGGTGCATGCCCCCGGACCCCCCTAGAGGAGGTGAGGACCCCCCTAGAGGATGTGAGGCCCACCCCCAAATAAAGCAGGTTAAAATAATTAAATTGCATACATTTTATTTTAGTAAACATTGAAAACGGGTCCCACAGACCCAAACACACAAAGGTTAAAGGTAGCATATAATAATGTTAAAATGTGCTAAATATATACACTGCAAAAAACAAAGAAGAGGAGTAAAAGTAGCCCCCGACTTGTTTTATTTTTTGAAAGTAGCTCTCATCCTAAAAAAGGTTGGTGACCCCTGGTCTAGAGGATGCGAACAAGAACAGGAAATCTGTACCTTGACAAAGTATCTCAGCTCCGAGGGAATAACCAGGACGTCGGGGGTCAGCGGCATCTGACCGAAGCTCTGGTACTTCTCATAATCCATGTTCACCTCCTCCACGGGCGGGTACAGCGGGTAGTAACTGGAGGAGAAGACACAACCATTAACATTAATAACCCTGTGGTTATTAATGTTACAGCAGCTTCAAAGTAGAGTAAATCAAATGTACTGTTTTAGGTCTCCTACCTCCTCTGGGTCAGCATGTGTTTCAGTATGCGGGAAAATCTGTCTGTTCCTGTGCCGCTGCAACACAACACAGTCGAATGTCAATACAGTAATGCCATTCATTAAAATACATAAAGAAATACTAGTTAACTTCTGCTTCTGGTATAAGAGAAAGCTCGCATAGGAATTCAAGTTTATAAAAAGGAGGCTGTAAAAAGGTCTATTCATGTAAATAATGTAATAAAACTTGACAAACATACTAAACATTACATTGCTTCTCCTAAAATACAATGTTAACTGAGCTCAATTGAAGTGAAATATAGAAGTCCTCCTCACCAGCTGATCTCCTCTGCGCCCATGTGGAACAGGATGTCGGTGGAGGTCAGGCCGAAGGTCACCCCGTCGATCAGCAGGGTGCAGGGGTCCGGGACCAGGGTGACGCGCTGTAGAGAGCATAGAGCAGATATAATTCCCTGGTGATAAACATTTATTTATTTTACCTGTACTATCCTCCAGTCAGGAGGTTGTGAGCCTCACCTGGGCCTGGTCCTTGCTGAGGCTCGGCAGGCTGAAGGGAGGCTGAGGGTAGATGAAGTGATGGTGGATGTCTCTCTGGGAGGGCACGAACACCAGGCGGCAGCCAACACTGGATAGGAAAAGAAAAAACATTATCTGTTATTATTTGGTACGTTTCCTAATAAGGGCATATTGTAAGAGTTAAGCACAAGCAGTCTTTGAACAGCTTTTTAAGAGTAAAATTCAAGCATTTTGTTGACTGAAAATGTTCTTCGAATCCTCAATGATTTAAAAAAGGACCTATCTAGCTGAAATTCGAGTGAGAACAGGAAAACAACTCTAGATGAAACACCATATTATGTTAAAAATCAAGAATTATATTCAAATTAAAAAGAGATTTCTAACCATAAAAACAGATGAAGTATAAAATCAAGCATTTACATTTTTTTTAAGAACCTGTCTGAACCCCTGCAGGAGGAAATGCTGTTCCTTGAAGTTCAAAATTTGAGACAAACCTTTGGGTGCCGTCCACAATGCTTTCGACACATCTTGAGAAAATGGCCTCAAACGTCTCGGTCACCTGAGCTTTCTATTTCACACACAGGTGGGGGTAAAGATGGTCACACAAACGTATTATCAACCAACTTGCTTTAAAGTCCTGAACACACTCAACTAATATGTTGGCGGAATCACATCAACCTGAATCGATTTTGGATTTTCGAAATACAGAGGGATCAGGGATAAAGACACAAAATGTCCACTTTTGAACGCACCTCAATTTGTTCATGTTTGGAATCCACAAAAGGGCCCAGCTGGAGAAGAAAAAGGAAGGATATAGAAATGTCGCATGTTAAACTTAACAGAGGAAAAGATCAATCAATCAATCAATGTTTATTTATATAGCCCAATATCACAAATGTTACATTTGTCTCAGTGGACTTTACAGTTTGTACAAAATATCAGTATGACAATACGACACCCTCTGTCCTAGATAATCAGGACTTGGTTAATTAGTTGATTGTGATGCAGTCAAAATAAAATAAAGAATGTGATTATACCAGCAGGCAGACATCAGGACGGTCCCTGACAATGACGTTGATGAGGTCCAGCAGGGGGTCAAAGGTCAGGCTGTCAGAGGGAGTGTACGGTCCGCATGCCACCAGCACATTCAAGGGCTCTGTAATCGCATGGGGAAGAGTGTGTATGCAATAACTGACATTAAAGAAACAAAGAAGTACAACTAACTTTGACATAAACAGAATGCACGGTCCCTCCTATAGATTTCAGATATGACAGAAAGTGTTACAAATGTTAACAACCAACATCACTTACCTTCACTCATCTCCATTTTCACCTCAGAAGTGAAGAAAGGAAGAGGGACTCCCTGAAAAAGACAAGACGATTTACAGAAGAACAACAAACAGCCCCCAGTTCTAAACGTTGAGAAACTCATAGTACTTCATTGGGATTTCTATTTCAACTAAATGTTGCTTTCTGAAGGCATTGTCTTTCAGAACTAAGAAAAACACTTTTATAACTCCTAGCTGACCTCGTAGAGTTTGGAAGCCATCAGTTTCCTTCCCGTTGTGTTCATCCCCTCCATCACTACCACCTGAGGAAAGAGAGCAGAGTTTCATTCACATGGAGGTTATTTATTCTTCTGTGGGATTTGTTGATACATTTTGTCAGAGTTCTCGGTCGGACGCTGGGGTCGTCTCCTGCCCAGGTCCCTGGCATGCTCTGTTGCTCTTGGTGACCGTGTAACCTGCTGCACACACACTTCAGTGCAGAGGAAAAGGGGAGGCCACCATCATACACACTCACAACACAATGCATTACAATGACAAACCTAATGTGCCACTGTGCTGAAGTACCAGGTTTAAGAACAAAGAATAGACATGCAGAAAAAGAAGCTGTGCAGCATTGACATTTGTATTTAGAATTGAAATGTAAATGCTACGAATGAAGCTTCCAACTATTCAGTACAGCCCTACAAATACATATGAATAAAAACGGACACATTGAATCCTGCCAGAAATATTTCTGTAGCTTCAAGAAGCTTCCCGTCTGCTCACCTGACCAGGAAACAGGGAGTAGTCTTTGAGCTCTGATAGGTCCACAGGTATTTGCTGCCCGCCTTGCTCCGGACCCGCCTCCAGGAGAACCGAGTGAGCGTTCAGTTTGCCATTACTGTCACAGCTGACCTGACCCAGCACTGTGATACTGTCCTGCAGGAGGGGGGGTAGAAAACACACCAAACTGAGCAGACAGGCAATACTTAAATCATACAAATAAACGTAATGTATCTAGTTTAAGGCAGCGCAAAATAGCAATAGTGGTGCACATGACGATATATCTTATATGAAGTCAAGATAAGCATGTTTACCTTCAGGGACACAAACCATGACTTACATTTGTCTTGATGTTCAGAAATATTCAACAGCAGATTTAAATGTACAAAGTTTTAGCATCAATACTTTTAAGTCAAATTGGATGCTGATTTGTTTATTGTTTCAAAAACGTTTCCTAGTTAAGAATACTACTTTGCTTGAGTAAAATATCAAATTACAACTTGAAGATATCCATGATGTTTTCAAAACTTATGGAAATCATGGGTTTGAGGCTTATAAGGTTTTAGAGGATTTCCCCAGCAGTATCACGTCTGTACCTGAGCGGGCAGAGAGACCGGGGAGAACTCTTCGATGTTGAAGTGAGCCTTGAGTCCCTCGCCCAGCTCCTCTATCTTCTCCGTCAACACTGGGGGAAATAGAAACAAAGATCTTCAAACAATCATGAACATTTTTTATAATAATCAAAGCAGGCTGTATACTGTTTAATTCTTTAAAAATAGAAACTTATGAATACCGGTGTTGTGCGAGATTTTAAATAATAGGACTCTCTCCTCCAAATTATTTTCTATGATTTTCATGCTGTTGAAGAGTGTGTCTCTCACCGTTTCGAACGTCTCGCAGCCTCTGGAACATGTACTTGTAGCTGCAGCGGAGCGAGTCCTCGGGCCCCTCCAGGAGCTCCAGCTGGACGCCGGTGCCTGACTCCTTCCTGCCGGCCCAGCGGGTCCCCTGCACGGCCCCGAAAGAAACCACCACCTCCCCTTTCGCTCCTCGCTGGCTGTACTTCTGTGACGGTGTTGAACTTCCAAAGAAAGAAAGTAAGAGTCACAGTTACAAATTGTTTATCTCGACAAGTTGTTCATTACATGCTACACTAACTAACCAGTGGTTCAGTGAAAAGTTCAAACTCCTTTTTGCTTTCTGTTTATTGGCCACAACATTACGCAATGCATTCACATTAAAGCATTGTTAAAGAAGCCAATGAATTGTAAATTAAACAAAAAGGTCAGTTGGAATAAAATGCTTTATCCTGCATGTTTGGTCTACTTACTGTTTGTGTTTTGTATGAAAAGTGACATATACGTTTATTATGTCTTTTATACAATGAACAAAGTTATAGTAGACACCACTTTGACACATCATCATGTCACTGCACAATGAGAGGTTGTCCTTGGTTCATCTGAAATAAAAACGATTTTGATACCAGTCAAATGTTATTCCGCCGTTTACTAGCAGCTCTCTTTGTGTGTGTGTGTGTGTGTGTGTGTGTGTGTGTGTGTGTGTGTGTGTGTGTGTGTGTGTGTGTGTGTGTATGTGTATGTGTATGTGTATGTGTGTGTGTGTGTGTGTGTGTGTGTGTGTGTGTTGCTGGGTACCTGGGAGAAAAGCTGGCCGGAGACAGCAGCAGGCCGGGGCTGGTCAGCAGAGCTGCACTTCTTTTAGAGTGAGGGTGCTCAGGAGTGGTCAGCGCTCGCTTCTGAGAGCCCTATATATATATACACACACACACTCAATGGTTTTATCTTTCCGTTTGGTTTTCTTGAATTTTGAATTAATATCTTGGAAAAGTTTGAAGGAACCGGGCACTGGGACACAGAAAACCTTCAGTGTAGAGCTGGAAATCTTTGGGTTTTTCCTCAATAATTTTATTTCTATCTGTTATGTTCATTAAAATCAATGAAAAAGAAACAGTACTATACATTTTTAAATATTGAATTCAGGGTCCTGCAACATCACAATTTTGTTCTGAACATGTAAATCCCTCAAAAGAAAAATAGTCAGTAATCAAAAGCTACAGCTTACCTTAGCAGGGGTAGAGTAAGCGTCCAGTAGGTTCTCCTCCTCTTCCTCAGCTTTGATTCTGAACAAATAATGTTAAGGACTGTGAAATTCTTTATTGGCAAGCCTTAATAAACTAATATGTTCTGAGGGTCATAAGCTCTTAGTTACTGAGTTTTGTAAAAAGTACGATATTAATAAAGCTTGACTTATAATGACACTCATGACAGACAACAGATACGTTTTATTCAAGGCTGTTTTTCTCGAGTTCACTGTGAAGGATACAAGTCCTGCAGCGAGTGGATGTCTCTGGTTCTGTTGTGAGTTTCTTCTTTTTTGAAGCTTTGTTTGGATTTATTCTTCTTGTTCAACACCTGCCAAGAAAATGAACTGGGTATGAAAACAACATTCGGTGCCCTGTCTGAGAGTGGGGACAGTGTTTTGACCGAGAAAGGGCCATGTTTAAGTAAACAACAACAACTCACAACATCCCTGACAAAAAGACAAATTCATTTATGTCATCCTTACCTCATGTTCAAAATACTCCAGGGTGTCGGTGGTGAGTTTTAGTCCATTTTTGGTTGTGCTGTAGGCCACCCACTCCAGCACCATCTCATCTGCCTGTATCCTGTTGCAAATACACTGCTCCACCACTGAGGAGAGAGGAGGGATAGGAAGGAGGGCAGGTCAAAAACGATGTAGCAATTAAGATGACTTCAAATACAGTCCACAATCACTTTGAATTAAGCAAATTTAAATCATACATGTACATGCTGAAATACTGCAAGTACAAATAAAAGTCGATCAATCAAAATCTTACTGTAAAAGTAAAAGAGTATTAGCATTAAAATATGCTTTAAGTACCAAAAGGTAAATTAGTCATTATGCAAAATAACTTACTACATAAACATTTACATTATATTACCGGATTATCATTTATTACTGCAGGTGGTAAAGATGGAGCTGATGTCTATCAATATTTGTCAGTTGCTTTATAGTCTGTATTTATAATCTGACTGCAAACTAACAAGTAACTAAAGCTGTCAAATAAATGAAATGAAGTTAAAAAAAGCGTCATATCTGTTTTCAAAATGTAGTGTGGTATAAAGTAGCAAAAGAAGTACATAAATAAAGATCAGCATAGAGTTAATGTTCTTATTTCCCATTACAGCACAGCAAACAGACATGTTACATACAACGTTAACAGTGTGTAACGTTATACAATGTTGAATATTTGGCTGGTTGTTGATATTCTTAGCTATTGGCGACGCTATTTATTAGAAAAGGACAACAATAAGCATGTATTAGCTACTTACTCTTGTCGAGGATTGTGTCATCTTGGCAGGCTATGTCGAACATTTCCAGCTCTGATTTGAGGCTTTCTCCGGTCACCACAGCCATGGTTTTGTGCTAAATATTTACTAGATTGTGTAGTAATGGAGGGGACACAATGTCCAATATGTTGATGATACCTTGATAGCTTTCGTTAGCTTTGCTCTCACTTCATAGCAACGATAAATATCAACTTGACTTTAGTATGCGATTTTTAATACAAGTTACTGCAGCTATCCTTATGTTAGATGGCAGAATAAAACACCAGACGCTCATTTCATTTTACCGCGAAAAAGTGCTGCTGGTGTTGGCGGCCGGAAATGACGTCAAATGCCATAACAATAATAAGCGGAAGTAAGCAGCCCCACAAAATAAAAGATTTCGACTCCATCTAGCGGTGAACACGAGTATTTTAATGTTTCGAAATACTTCAATGAGTAACCAATCTTGTTTGCCGAGCTTAACTTGTTTTAAACTCATAAACAATAGCGTGAAGTACAGTACTATATTTCTTTAGTTCTTTACATTTTTTAAATGTTAAATATTTCCCTTTGATATAAAGTTGAGTAGAAGTAACATTACATTGTTTGTTGAGGGGTACATGTAAAAAAATGAAAAACATCACCTCAGATCACAATTTCAGTTCAGTGTAAATCTCAGCTTGAAATGTTTATTATTTTTAGAAGTGTTTATAAAAAAAGATCTGATGTGAAACACAAACTATGATAAGAAAGGATACATTTTGTTTTTTAGTAAAAAGTTAATTTCTATTTCTATCACCACTACATTAACAAAACCCTACTGGCACACATTGAACCGCAGAAATAATAATTTCCATGTGAACTCCTTTCAAACCCTTTAACTCAGATTTCTCTTCCGGTGGGATCCTCCCCCTCAGGTTCTTCTTCTACCTGTAAAAGTAACAACGTGGTGTCAGACTGTGGATAATAATCACATGTCTAGAACTGCTGAACTGTTGCTATGGTGACAGATGTCCCACTCACCTGAGCTGAGGGGCACCTGCACTTTGGAGCGAATTTCCATGATGTCACCCTCCTCAGGGATTCATGGAGGGAGGCGCTCAGGTCGTGAGTGTCCCTCACCTGACAAACACACACAACCTCTGTCACATGATATACACACATTGATTTATATTCCTGTATGTAACACGTGTTTTCACAGTGTAGCAAATTACCTGGTAGCAGGTTAAGCCAATGGCCTTTTGAGTTGTGAAAGGGAGTTATTTTATATTAGAAATAACTATAAATATATTGTAGATACATATTTTTTGATTATTTGTTTCCTACCTTCATGCTGTTGAGACAGGCGTTTCTGAAGTCCATGTTAGAGCTGGAGCTCACGATACTGATGGAGGAACTGAGAATCACCTTCGCTGCTGAACGCATCCTCTGTTGGCTCTGAACACATCCAAACATAGGACATCAGGACCCACATCAACATTTTATTAAAGTGTATTTATCATTTATTTCCATTGATTGATTGGATTAATCTATCAAATGTCATACAATAATGAAATGAACATTCAAATCCCAAGAGCCCAAATGTTTTGTCTTCAAATGTAAAGGTTTTGCCCCACAAACAGCCTAAAACCCCAAATATATTACATTTTCAATGATTAAAAGCAGATAAAAGCTGCAAATTCTCATGTTTGAGAGGCTGCAACCTGCAAAAGTTTGACATATTTTCTTGCATAATAATTACAAAATGAAAAATCTACTATTCTATCTTTCAATGAGTCAAATAATTACTGAGGCACAAACACTTTAATGTAAAATTATTAATATCATGGGAAAAAACACTACAATACATGACTGAATTGATTTCCTCTAGCAGTTATTGTGTAGGTGGACCTGCCTGTTTTCTTAGATGTTGGGCTTTCAGTGAGTCCTTCAGCTCGGTCTGCAGGGCTCTTGTGACGGCCTGCCTGTTGTTGTTCAGAATATCCTCCAGGTGGCGCTGTATCAGCACCTCTGTGGCTGTGGGAGGATCGCAGAGAGGCAAAAGGAGATGAAACAAAGACCAACTTCAACAGGATGATTTGTGACTGTACAGTTAGCGGTCTCTCACCCATCATATCAGAGAGCTCGGAGGCGAAGGGGTCCCCGTGCTGCAGGAAGACGTAGAGCAGGAGACTCTGCTGTATCGAGGAGACACTTTCCTGCTCCAGATCCTCCTGCTCCTGCTCTACTGTGTACACGGTGCCATTGCCGTCTGCAAAATATGTAAAACATATTTTTTGAAAGTATAAATGAGAAGGGAATGATATGAAAACATGATTGTTAGTGAGATATTCACTTTAAAAAGTAAGCACTGCGAGTCCACACTGGTGCAGCGATGGGCTGTAACAATACGTAACATTGTGGTAATGGAAGACGCACCTTAGGGATGGGCAAGTAATTGTTTCAACATTTGGTTTTACAGATCTAGTTTAAAAACTCGAGTTCACTTAGCTAACAGACTTTTTTTCAATCTTGCCTTGGTGTAAAGTAGCAACAATTCAGAGTTTTCTTTTAGATGTTCAAACCTGAATACCTGTCGATTTCCGGGCTAAAATAAACCAAAATCTATTGTTTGCAACAGTATCTTTTCTCTAGCCGCCTTACGACAGAGCAGAAAGGTTTATGAGTCTGTATTAGTTTACTTTCGGTATTAAGAATGATGATTCTTGTAATGTTCACAGTCCTGTGGTTGAACTTGTGGATGTGATTCATTGTGTTACCTACAAGGACAAGAAACAGTAATTTTGCAAGAACCTTTTTTCTGAGAAATCAGCCAATTCTTGAGTGGTAGAGAGATTCTTTAGTGATGATTAAGCTTAGTTCCACAAACGTGCCTCTTCACTGTGATCAAGATTTACTCAATTCAGCTCGCTTACACGTTGTTTAGATGAATCACTGATTCAAGTTAACTCTTTCATTAACTGATGGCAAGAAAGAGCAACAGACTAAATTCATGCTCAAATTAAACATTCATGAAGGCTGACTGGTGTCCCGACACACAAGGAATCATTTGACTATTTCACTGAGACACAATACATATTATTAAATTAATAATAACAATATAATATATACTTTGTTAATGTGCCAGTATTTTGCAGTTAAAAAATGCATTTTACTGCAAATATAACGTCAACCATATATTTGTTTGACATGTTAGACAACATTAATGTTCACGCCTAGGAAATATTCAACTGTTTTATTCTTTAAAGTTCAGCTCGTAGAAACTGAAGCAAGATCAATGTACGAGGAAAACATCGTGGTCAAAGTTATATGCCAATGTGAATACCTGTGGTAACTCAATCCATTTACTCCGTTATAGGTCTTTTCTTGAATTAAAGAGTCATTGTTTTTTGCTCAACTCTTTTGATTGTATTCAAACATATGTTTTCCATCTGATACATTAGGTATCACAGTTCTTGCTACTTCCACTGATAAATGTACCTCTAAATCAGCCGACGGATTTACAGCAAAAGATACGATAAACAAGCACGATACAGGAAGCATCTCCTTTTAAGGATTTAATAAGTGACACAAAGTATTTTCCTTGTTTTTTGATTTAGGAGATTAAACAGTGTTAGGGTTTTGATGTTTGTTGGGTTGTGGTTATGGGACTTTAATGACAATAACATGTGTTTTAACTGTTAAAAACCAGTTTGAACATAATGCATTGATGTAATCTGGGTTCTCACTACTGTACTTGAGTCGTTTTCCATTACTTGTATTCAAGTGTTTACTTTTTGAGTACCTTTACTTCTACTTGAGTCAACTAAATTGAAAAAGCAACAATGATGTTAACTGAGTGCAGTTTTAAATTCCAGTGTTGGAGCCTCTTCTCTCTGTCACTTATTATTATGTGTTGTTAGTGTGTTCTGTGTGTGTTGTTCTTTCTCTCTCCATTGTTCTCTCTGGTTTCATTTATAGGATTCAAATCATGAGCCTCTATGATCCATTAAAGATTTTATAGGTGGCGTCAGGCAAGGGCTTTGGGCACTCTCTAACACATCTGGTTTAAATGAGTCTTATACTCAGGCCTCATCCGTTGTTTCAGAAAGTCCCTTTTAAGACAGGATTTACTGTCCTGGACTCGAATGACCTTGTTCAATAAAAACCTTGACAGTTCCTTCAGTGAATCACCAAAATGTAGCCCGACCATCAGTACTCGTTGTTCCTATCAGTGGTTGTTGTTTACCTTTAACGGAGGAGCAGTGAATGCCGCACAGCCCCAGGTCCTGACAGTCCAGATTAGCAGGGAGGTTCTGGAAGAAGATGGAGGGCCCTGTGAGGGGAACATTACTGGGGCCGTACACCAACACGTGGACACATGCAGTCAAGGAACACTAATCCAGATCAGATGCCAGAGCCGATCAACCATGTCGACACAAAGAAGGAGCAGAGTTCCGGCCACATGTGTGATTTCAATGTGTTGGTCATTACCCAAAGCCACTGACCTTAGCTGAGGGATGGAACAGGGGGGTTAGGGGGTTTTGGGTCTGAAAATGTTTGTAGCTTCCCAAAACGGAGGTAAGCTGCGTTTTAACTCGTGCTTCCTTTGTAAACATTTTTGAAATAACTATTTCTGCAGTTTCCATGTGAACAACCAAGTGCAACATTATAAAAGCCTCTCAGGACAGAATAGTTGTGTTTTCATCCAATGAAAATTAGGCTCAACTGGGAATACGTTTGGATCAAAACCAAGGAAGATGTGCACAGTTATCCCCCTAAATGTAGACAATATTCCTTTCATCCCTCTCTATAATAACTGGTTTTTCACTCCGCCTTCAAGAAACACGGTCCTGCAGCCACCACAACAGACACACGCTGTGAAAATCACAAACAGACAGCAAAGGATATTTGGATGTGTGTGAGTTGTGTTGCCAGATTAGGGTACTGCAGTACACAGGGCCTCAGCAGTGTGACGGGCTGCATGCTGAGCTCCCCAAACAGGCCCTGGTCCATGGTTTCAGGGGGGACACTGAGGGGCAACCAGCGTCCGAGGAGAGGGTGTCCTCCATGACACCAGCATCCTTTCTTCACACACTCTGGAGGCCTTAAAACCAACAAAAATATGATATATAAATAACAGTAAACATACCTGAATATGTGTCTGTATTATAAAAATGCTTGTGTTGCATTTATAGATGAAGTTACAAACCTATTAGAGTATTTTCTGTCAACATTGATCCACACAAACATGAATTCAATAATATTAAACAGTATTACTGACTGTGTTTTACAGGTGACATCCAGATACAGTGACCATTGGTTTCCAATAGCTGTATTCTTGATTTTCGCTCTGCAAGAATATGTACATAGCACAAAAAAAAACACATGGCAGAGGGGGTTTAAGTAACTAGCCTTTGATTGTGATTATGTTGTAACTCCGTAAAACATTTTTTTGTCAAACATATACTTTGAATACATTCGATTGCGGTCATTTTACAGGTGTGAAATTTGCCAGATTCATCAGTACTATACCTGTTGTCATAGCTAAAGTCTCGCTGGAAGGTCTGCTGGCTGAATTTGAACTTGAAGTGGGTTTTAATCTACGAAAAAGAAGGTTAGTCAAATACTTGGTACCTATTTTAAAATCATACAATGGATACATGTCAGAGAAAAACAGATCTTACCCTTAGGTTAGCCAAACTGTACGTGTGTAGAAACGCTTCTATACGAGCACACAACTCTGGACGGAAAAGTGTTGCATCGTTCATCTGTATAGTGCAAGCAATAGACATATATTGTATATTAAATAAAAAATGTAGCATTCATAATTGAACAAATTAGTACATTTGGCCAAATTACTAAGATCAGATCCCTCCCACATTTCTTCGGACATTCTTCCTACAAAGAGGTAATGCCAGAAAGAAGTAATGCCAGAAATTATAGAAAAATATCACAGTTGTTTGTACCTGAAAAGACAGAAGCAATCTGATTGGACCGTATAGTTCAATGAAGGCACACAGCTCATCAGGGTCAGGTGGAGGACACGCACGGGAAAACATGCTCTCCTTCAAAGCTGTGAGGGTTAACACAGTAACTCAAGGTGATGGAGTGCACAGAGGTGGAAGTCGTGTGGGAAGTTGTAAGGTCTGTGTATACTTACCAGGTTGGAGTTCCTTGCTAATCCCTTTGCACCAGTAACCAGCCGCTGCAACTGCACCACAATGTGAACACTGTTACAACACTTAATCATATGTCAGATAACGGTAGCTGGTCACTTTTTGATATTGAGCAAGTATTTTTCTAATCTTTCAGTTTACTTTTTGATATTGAGCAAGTCTTTTTCTAATCTTTCAGTTTATTTTTCCAATTGATCATGTCTTTATTAAAAAGAAGATCTGTATCTCCTTTTGAAATGAAATGCACATTTTTGACAATATTCTTCTGGAATTCAGTGACTAACACATCAGTAATTTCAGATGTTACATTTAAAATGCCCTTTTATTTGTGTTACTTTAAATTATTTCCGAATGCACAGCTGTAAGGAAGTATGAAAATGACTAGTCTTGAGTGAAAGAAAAATGCAAGTGAATTATAACCCTTCAATAAATAATAATGTGTTTGATTATACGAAAGAAAATACATGTCTCTATATTGTTTTTAATAGTATAAATGTGCTTGTAGATACGACCGCTTATTATAATATGTTGTGATGGATTTTTTCAGTAATTAACCTATATTTCACACGTGCTATATTTACATAGTGGTATTCAGGCCTATCTCTCTATCTATCAGAATACTATTTAATTATTTAAGCACTTTATGTTTCAACTTCTATAAACATCTATCTGAAAAACAAAACAAATTTAAGACAATGTAATTCCACTGGTGGTGGTGGCTCATCCTGATGAAGCAGCAAAACTATAAACAAACTTTGGGTGCTTTTTAACTCACCAGTACAGTTTAGACTTTGAAATGAATCTCCTGTGTCCGTCCATAGAAGTACTAAAAGCCCTCCTTTCGCGTCCAAACCATCTTGATGCCGTTTATTTCCAAAAAGCGTGAAAAACCGCAGCACCTGAAGTTGTAGAAGAAATATAGTTTAGCGAACTTTAGCTAAATATGCTATGCTAGCTTCCAACATTTGCTAGCTCCATTTGACAAATAACTACAGGCTGAGGTAATCTGTCATTTAATCAGCATAGTTACACGTACAAAACGTTTGGTTTTCTAACGATAATATTTCTTATTTAAAGTATTACCTGCTGTATCTCTCTGAGCATCCTTCATGTAGGCTACAGTGCAATGCGCGCGCTGAACGAGCATTCTGCATCTGTTTCTCTGTTAAATAATGTAACACCTATGAGATGGATAGTGACAAAGTACATTTACTTAAGTAAGAACTGTACTTAAGTACACATTTGCAGCACTTGTACTTTACCTGAGTATTCTCAGTTTATGCTATACTTCTACTACAATTAAAAGCCAATATTGTACTCCAGCACATTTATTTGACAGCTATTGTTAGTTACTTTTATATTTAGCTTATTAGCTCAAAGAATATCTAGATGAGTTATATAGATACCCAGCATCAATACAGTTATTCAAATTAGTTCTACATTTACCCTTCATCATAATAGTAACCATTAACTCAACAATGGCCATTACGCATAAGAAGTAGGCTACTTTTACTTTTGGTACTTGAAGTATATTTGGATGTAGATACTTGTGTACTTGTAGGACCCTTAGTTAGTTGTAACAAAGTAAATTCAGTTTTTCTACTTTTAGTTGAGTAACAAATCTGATTTCTTCTTCCACGACTGCATCTATAAACTATCCACAGCTGTATATAATATATTTTTTGTTTTGGTAATAAAAAGTACAAAGTTATAACATTTTTTAGTAAACTGTATGTGTGTGATCGTAGTAACAAGCTCCTATTCATGTTTTTAAGCCACCCAAAGCTTCAACATGATCTTAACTTCAAGTCCACTTTCTTGCTTTTCCTTCAGCTTTTAACCACATCTCACAGTATTCCTCAGCTGACTGTTCTTACCTTTTACAATCTGTTTCTACCTATATTAGATCCCACCAAATGTGTACATCTTTAAACGATTCAGAAAGTACTATTTCTGTTTTTGCATTTCTGGATGTTTGGCTCCTTGAAATGATCCCAACAAAAAATGGAAATCTGAACAGTAGATAACATACATTATTTTATTTGTATATATATATATATATATATATATTCATACATTTTTAATACAATGATGTAGACTATGACAACAAAACAGTACAACAAACATTTAGTTTGATTTCACAATTGCTATTTGTATAAATACATATATATGAAGAGTTCCTTCAACATAAATCATTTCCCCTCTTTCTCAGACCACTCCTTGTATCCTCCGGCATAATTACGTGCACTGAAACAGAAGACAGGGGCACACTTTTAGACCAATAAGCACACATAATTACATAACACACGGCCAGCAAAGTCAGGCGATATTACTGTGAGGAAAGAAAATAGTTCAAGAGTATATTGGAGTCTTAGAAGCCAGATGGGCGGTGTGTGTGTTAGTTTGTGTTTCTACTTAAAATGTTTAGCAACCAATAATTTATTTACTTCACGTATCCCAGTTGTTGGGCCTTGTTTGTGGCATTTAACCCTCGCCTGCCCATCTGGCAGTGAAACACCAGCTCTGGCGCATCTTGCGGTGGCTTTGTTACTCCGAACTTGGCCTTGAATTCCTCTGGCGCCATCACAAAAGCAGCCTCTACTGTATCAACTGAAAGAAGAAAGGGAGGAGGGGAGAGAGGCAGAAAATGTTTTAGGATTAAATGGATGATGACAAACTTGGGTATCCAGTATGCACAATAAGAGTTCAGTGTTCAGTATTAGGCAAACATATTATATATTTTACCTTGATTTTATTTTAACCCTGCATGCAAATAAGTACAAAGGAAGCTTACCTGGAATGTGAACAGATCCTTGAATTTGTCCTTTATCCACTTCCTCTTTAGTGCGAACATCCACCACAAGCAGATTCTGACTCTTTCCCAGAAGGGCTTTCAGATCCTCATAGGAAATATCCTTAGTTACTGGCAATGCAACAGGAAACACATCAACAACATTATCGTCTGATAAGGATTTTATTATATACTCCTATAAAACTGCACCTTTGACTTGTTCAAACAAAGGCTTTAAGTTGTAAAAGAGACTGCTAAAACATGCTAGAATCACTTCACCTTAGTTGTCTGTATTAGATCATTGCATCATAGATCATCATGTCCATCACAGGACATAAATAAATATAAAAACAACATTGTCTTTTCTTTTTTATTTATCAGGCCCTATTATTCACTACTCTACAAACAACCTGATTATCATTATATTCACAAACGGTCACAAAATACAGTAGATTATGCCACAGCAACAGGGAGGTGTACATATTTAACCATCTAATGGTACCCTAAGATAAATAAAGTATTCTGCTGATTTAAAATGTGTGGAGAAAGAAAGCACTGATATCAGTGGAAGAAATCCTGAGTTGAGTATAAATATAAGCATAAGTGGAGGAAATCAGGTTACATTTCAATTTGGTTTTAAATTGCTTGGGGGAAAAAAGACTCGGTGATGATTTAGATGTCTATTTTCAATATTAAGGGGACATTCCTCTCCAGATGATTGCTCCCTCATGCTTGCACTTTTTCTTAGTGTTTAGTGTGGTAGTGGTGAGCGCTTGTAATAGAAGTACAGGCACAACGCCTTTAATGCGGCAGGGAGGCAGGCTATGCAAGCATGTTTTACTTCATTGGAGAGTGAAATTATGAAACTAGTTTGTTGGCTGTTGCCTGAGTAACAGCTCTGGCATTCCCAGAAGGTACAGGTAGATTACACCCTACACCTCATCAGGATAATTGTTTCATTTCTGCTGAGTCATTCTGAATCATTGAATTGTATAACTACTATACAGGAGATTTGTCTTCATTTAATATTTATTAGTTAGACAAGTCTGTCCACGAGTCAATTTTACTTGCATTAATACTGATTAATATTGTGATCTAAATAATCTTAAAACTACACAGATGATAATACAAAGCACAACATTATTGTTGCTTCTTAACTGTATTCAGAGGTTGTTTGAAATAAAAAAGTGCCCGAATATAATTTTGGGTTTGTTTAATAAAAGAAAGAAACAAATAGTTAGGAATGCATTTGGTTGAAACAAGTAATTTATTATGTGTAGGTGTGAAATTAAAAAACAATTGATGGTAAAAACATAAGACTGAGGTATGATGTTAATTGTTTATCAAGCATATAGGACTTTGTTTTTGTACTTCCTTACCTGGAAGTGAAAGGGTTGCCTATCAGATAATGATATGTAAAAAGGGCAGCGTTTGGTATAACGCGTTTAAGCTTCGACTAAGACCGTTTCGGTTAATATTTATTTATTTTCACTTTAATTTAATGTTATTGATTTATTTTTAGGTGCATTTTACAACTACGGGAAATCCTAATACGACATTAAAACTTTAAATAAGCTACTATTTAAACTAAAAGTTCTCAGACAACATTTGGGATGTTTAAAGACGTTCATAAAGTTCAAACACACTGCTGTTAGTTAAATGTACATCTCTTTATAACTGCATCCGTAAGAGAAGTAAAAATGTACTCACCTGAGCTCGCCATCCTGCTTTTATAAATGTCTTGTCAATGTGAATTGTGAAAGTAATTTCAATACGTTAAAAATAACCATAGTTCTTCCTTGTTATGTGTCTACTGACATTTCATTGGCTTAGACACCTAAAGAGGCGGGACTTAGCTTGAAAATCTGCAGCCGTTGACCAATTATATCTTCTTCCCACTTGAGGTGATTTTACAGGACTTTCAAAGTAAAAGTGGAAGTTGAAGTTGGCTAACAAACAAAAGAAAACAGACAGGAGAATCCAGTTGAAAGAAGGAACAGATAGCACAATGTTAATCATAATTTATTATAGTAAATAATCCTGTATTGAAAATATAACTAAGTTAAATATCGTCAAAATGTATTACAATATCCATATCAATGTTATTGCCCTTTTCAGAGTCTAATTCTTGATGTATCATATTATTAACATATTATTAATGCATTAACTTGTATGTTGTAGCTAGTCAAAGTAGAGGTTTTCTCCTGCTGAATAGTTTATTCTATAAAAAAGCACCATATTCTATAAATAGTTTTATCAATTTACATTTTAAATCTGCAAAGGGAAAATAAACTAAACCACTCATTACATATAGGGGAGTGAAAAGGATGTAGATTCCATCTGAAATATAGTGGAGAATTATACTGTTACATAAAAGGAAATTACTCAAGCAAAGCAAAGCCACTGTGCTTAAACTATTTCACCACTGCACACAAATGGATGACACAGTGTTAAACAATTAATAAATGAGAGGAGAACAATGACAATGTATGGTTTCATACATTATACAAGGGTTCAATGAATAATGAAAAGCATGTTCTATTGCCAGTCAACATCTCAACCCAAATCAACATTTTGGACCAACTTTTGTTCAGACCCCAAGGTAAAGTTTCATAAAACTGATTCCAAGGTAAATTTAAGATTAAGATGAATGTTCTTTTTCATAAAAAATGTCACACTTTAACCTGTAGGCCTATTCAAAAAACGCTCAGAGGAAAAAAAAAATAATCAGCAAAGAGCTTTTACTAAGTTTTTATTCAAATAAGTTTTAGTTAATTACAAGAGTCAGAATCTATATTCTACACAAAATATATTTACAAACACATTTAAGCCATGATAAGAGGTGACAACTCTACAATAAACCACAAAGGCTTATTCGCCAGCAAATAAACCTGTAGTTCAAACCACAAAATAACAAAATGGCCCATTTGATAATGTTATTCCACGAACACCACTACTCTTTCCCCACATATCTTAAGATTTTCCTTGAAACAGGAGTGTAAACAATTTCTTAATTCTACAATCAATCATATTACCACCCCAGAACTGTTTGTGTTATTCATGATTACATTGTTGTTGTTGTTGTAGTTTTCCCTGTCTCAAGGGGACTGTTCAGTGGGCGGGGGGTGAATTGTCTGTGGATCACAGAGTCCCCTCTGTGCTGTAAGAAGGATTTCCCAGTCCATTAGCAGAGTCTCTCTTTGACTTTTTACGCATTTGATGCTTCCAGAGGATCACAGCTGCTATGATGAGAACAAGTAGGAGGGCGACTCCCCCTCCAATAATCCCAGCTAACAGTTTATGGTCAGAAGATTCAGGGTACTCATACCGCATACAGGAGAAGTCTGAGGGGATGCTATGTCCTGCACCGTTCACCGCCTCTACACACACATTGGTCCCGACTTCCATAGATCTGACCAAACCTCGTCTGGAAACATCCTCAAACTCAAGGACTTCACCTCCCTCTATCACCACTTTGTACCCAGTCACCACAGAAGACGGAGCACACCACCTGATCTCTATTTTCCCTCTGTCCCCCCCTCGAGTGATTGGCACCAGCTCTTGGATGCGTGGCGAATGAGGAGGCTGATCCCCCCCACTGACCCCTGGACAGAGGCACCCAGTCTTTGCTGAAATCTGGTCACAGGGCTCTTGATTCTCCAAGCAGAAGTCGTAATGGCAGAGCTTCGGTGCCTGATGGACCAGGGGGTTTTGCACAGATTTCACCACTTGAGTAGGGACTGTGGGTTTTTCATAATCGTAATCATCATCGTCATCGTCACCTTCTGAGCCGATTCCAGTCAGGAATATTATCCGAGGTCGAGTGGCGGGAGCGGTAGTAGAGGTAGCATGAGTGAAGAGGTTGGAGTGAGGGAGAGGCGAGGCAATCAGAAAAAGGAGAAGCACGGCCAGATTTCTGCACAGTGACATCATCTCTGTGGAAAGAAGCGACAAAAGATAATAATTAATTCAAAAAAATATTAGTCATTGCAAAAATATATGAGAAAATACATCTAAATACATCACCAGCACTGTTAACAGTATGTTTATCCATGCAGTCACAGAGAGGAAATACATATTCTTATCTATTGACCTTGTATATTAAGGAAGATACCTGGAGGCAAGTAATGAGAAGGAATTCAAGCAGGGGTGTCAAACCAAATGTAATCACGGGCCACATCAGCATTATGGCTGCACTCAAAGGGCCGGTTGTAACTTTAAGACTATATCAAAATACATATATAAATATAAATGTAAAATAATGTATTATATTACATTATTGCCTCTGCATTGGATTATTATCAGATAGGGTAATCACTTCATAATTAACTACGTCTGAAAGCAGAAGTTTGGGCCAAATAATTGCAAGTCTCTTCAGTGCGAATGTCACAAAATGATTTAAAAAGAAAAGCCAAATTCTGGAAAAAAAGTCAAAATCAAAAAAAAGAAGAAACATTTAAAAAAAGAGTCAAATTCTGAGAAAAAGGGCATATTTAGATTTTTAGTAGGAGCCAAAATACAGCATTTGGTTACAATAACAGACAAAAATAACAAATCAACAAAGATCCACAGTGGTACTAAGGATAACAGATAAGGTACTATATGAGATGTTTTTGCATTTTTCCCCTTTTGGCAGAATTGTATTTGTATAAACTAATGACACTAATAGCTCATTTATTAGGCTTGTTGACGAAGAGTATGTTACCAAAGTTTATGTCGCGGAAATGGCTCTGTATTGAATCAAACATTTGCGGTGTTCTAGTTTCCATTCTGTAAACAGCTTTATATAAATAAATACTGAGTGCCTGAAGAAAGAAACACGATATTGAGGTGACCCCATCAGCACGTCCATTGTCTCCTGGCAGAAAGCCAGATGAGTTCTGTGGGAACCCAGAACTGAAGAACAGATGGATTTTCACTTTAAACTCCAGTACTTTTTGGATATATTTTCTCATGCAATTTAGCGCAACTGATGACTAACACTCTCAGAATAAACATTAAATCACTCCAGTGTTGTGCATGTGGTCGACACACACATCAGCACAGGATTAAAAGTGACTGAAAAGTAAAGAAAAGGGTTTTAAAAAGGGTTTACTGTACCTGCTTGATGTTGGTGGGTATACCAAGTGTTGGTCCTCTCTTGTTCCCTGTCTGCTCGCACCGTGTGCTCACTAGTATTCTGCTCTCACTGTCTGAAGTTGACTCTCCCCTCCTCCTCAACACCCCCTCTTTTTCTCCCCTCGGTGCCTCCCAATCCACTCTCCCATCTGCCTCTCTCTTCTCTGGCTTTTCTCACATCTTGCCTCGTTCTCTTTCTCAACGTCCAACCGTCACCGACTGTTGTTGCACTTTTTTTATATTTCTTTGTTTGGAATTTTTGTGTGAATGCGGGAAGGAGGAGGGGGTGTCGAGCCACCATGTGCCGGTGTGCTGCTCAGCATATTAATTTTCTGGGTAGCAGCAGCAGGAGGCAGGCTTGTGCTTGTTGCAGTATGTGTTTGTGTAATCTGTAGGTGCAGCGGCCTGTTTTTGATTACTTCTTTTAAGAGCTCAACTTCCTGCCTACCCTGCAGGTGTTATTGTGGAAACTAACAAGACATAGGGTCACTTCAGTGTGTTTATGCGTGCCTTTGAGAGCGGGGGGTAAAGAATGCATGCATGTGTATTTATTATAGACCTCCCCAGCCTCTCTTCTGTGCCCCCATTGTGACAAGCTGAAGGAGGACGATAAAAGCTTGTCCTCCTTTTATGGGGTAAAGCTAGCATCTAGGGCAAGTTATTTGCACTGATGAGAGGAAAAGTACCCAGAGCCTGCTTCTTTGGTAATACAAAACTCAAAGGATTTACTTGACCTAACCCATCACAAACGCTGATTTCTTCTGATTTTTCTCAGGATAAATGGCATCCTTGACATTTGAGCTGCGTTGAGTCTGTTTACTGTGAACCACATGTGCATGTATATTGATCTTCCAAGAGAGAAACCAGAGTTATGTGAGGTTGTGAGAGTGTGCACTTACATGTACAAATCAACTTTCACATGAAGGCAAAACAACTCAATAGTATGCACACAAGGAAAGGACTGGGTGTACAACAACAATAATTAATTTAGAAGAATACATATTGAAAACTGACTTTAATGTACAGCCATATGATGTGGGAAATAGAGCACAGATTTATAGGTTTAATGCAAAGTTGTATGTCCTTTTTGGGGGAAGAATGTTACATCCGATGTATTCTAATTGTGTGCATAGTTTGATCCCAGGTTTGTTTAAGTGTGAACGAATCCAAAGTCCTAAAAAAGTATGTTTCACACCAAAACATTTCATCATTAAAGAGGTTTTGTGGAATAAACTATTCACTACGAATGATTAATCAGAGAAGATGGTTGTCGATTGGTTGCTGATCTATTGATTTTATTGATGGTTTTTAGAGGGGAACAAAAATCTCATGACAGTCTAAATAATTTCCAGACTATTATATTTCATTTACGGCATAAAATGATTGTCATGTGTTTTGTTATAATAAAACTGTATTTAGTGGAACATTCATAAATGCTTAAACCCCTTAGGATGTACAGGAATAAAGAGGAAGGCTTCCCGTCAAGATCACCTTCATATTTTCAGTATTTCCAGCTTCAAGTTGTTTTGGCTGCGTGAGACAAGCATCTCTTCCACCCCCCATCAGTCGTCAGAAGCTGATAACTTTCATCAACCTGCCCGTAACTGCATGGTACTGGTTGCTATTACTTATCCGAAATGATTCATTCAATTCATTCCTGGACGAGATTATCCATCATGCAGGAGCTTTGATTATTTTCTCACATTTC